TAGTGGTCCTCAATCCCAATCTCAATCCTCAGAAAAAAAATAATACATTCTTTGTGAGCTGATTTAAGTCAAAGCAGAGGATACAGGAAATCATGAAGCATGCGATTCCCAGTTGTGGTCTAGGAGTAGGTTTAATTTGTATTGCCTTAAAAACAAACAACAATCATATGAGCACAAAACAATGAAATTATTATGATACCTAAAACAGAGGTGTATGTATTTGTTTAGGAAAATGCAAGGAGTCTTGAAGAATTGATTTTTAAAATAGTGAACAAAAAATTCACTGTATGGGGAGTTTTAGACACTTATTTTACAAAATATATTTTGACTTTGCACTCAATGTGTATTAATAAGCACAAAGATAGGCTTACAAAACGGAATTGATAGGGAAAAAGGTATTCAGACACTACAAATCAGTAACATTAGGACTTTGTTGCAAAGGTGCTGTTGGCAAATTCAACTTTGACATATAAGAAGTAATAAGGTTTTTGAAGCACTGTGATTCAGTTTTATCCCATTCCTCTTAGAAAACCATCTTCAGTTACCCTCTGCTGGATTTGCAATTTCAAAATTTTACATAAATTTTAGGTGAGATTTAAATTAGGAGATTGGCTAGGCCATGCAGACACCTTCACCTTCTTTTTTAGAAGGTGAAGGTTATTTTGGTTGTTTTCTTCAAGGTTGTTGTCTTGTTGAAACATCCATCTTCGCCCTTTCTTGGCTGATGAGATTAGGTTCTCCTGCAATTTGTCCTGGTACATCATTCCACTCATGTTTCCTTCAGACGTGTAATGCCCAGTGCTGTTTGCAGAGAAGCAGCCCCATATCATGATGCTTCCACCTCTGTACTTCGCTGCGGGCCTGGCACCCCTTACAGAAGTCACATGTTTCACTTGTATAAAACTGACTAAAAATTACAGGTTTACAACTAAGTACGTAAACAATGTGTGATCACATGTGACATTAAACGGCACAGCTCCCATGCTGGCTCCCAAAGCTGCCCCAGTACTGGCTCTCCAAGCAACTCCTGTGCTGGTCCCTCATGCACTTCCTGTGCCAGCTCCCTGTTCTGTTCCCAGCTGCTCCTCCAGTGCTGGCGTCCTGAGCTACTCCTCCAGTGCCAGGCCAATAGATTGCTCCACAGCCAGCTTCCCAGTGCCTCGCTCAGTTGGCATTCCATCTCCATTCAGATGACTTCACAGAACCCTGATCAACTGGTCCCCACTGCTGGAACTAGGTCCGGAATCCATTCCAGGCTCCATCCCTGGCCCTGACCTGGGCTCCATCCTTGGCCTTTGTCCTGATCCAGGCTTTGTTGTTGGCCTGGGCCCTGACCCAGGTCCTACCTCTCTGCCTGTGGTACAGTACACTCCTGCAGAGCCAGCTCAATGCATAAGCAAACTAAGCAGCTGCTTAGAGCCCTCCAGAGTGCTTGAAATGTCCCACAAGAGAACTTGATTTTTTTATTTGTGATGTATTATGTCAACAGTAATCATACAAAAACATATGCAATATAATGTTAACGGGCTGGCAAGATACTACCGGTTTTGATCAAGTCCCACTGCCTCTGCCGGAGCTGGTGTCACGTTCATGTGCATGCATATGCACTGTACTCATTACAGTGTAACAGATGCCAGCACAGACAGTCAGACAGTTAATGGAAGAGACAGACAAAGGCCGAGTCAAGTGGTTCAGGTTCAATTCATTTTCTACGGTTACTAAGCTACATTTTCTCTTTGTATATCTTACCTGGCTACTCTATGTGATAATTCACTAGACTTACTCACTCTTTCACAGTGTAGGGCCCCTGTCATGTTTTCAAGAGCTTGCAACTTGCAGTTGGGACAAGAACTATCACCTGGTCTCCCAGCTGAAATTTTCAAGGCTTCACTATGTGATTATAATAACAGTGTTTTGCCCTCAGGGCTTCCTCCATATGTTCTCTCACATGGGGTGAAGTATATCTGACAGTATATCTGAAGGAGGATTGTTTAACACATCCAGGAGTCCTCAAGGCGTTGATGCAGAGGTGTGGACTCAAGTTATATGACCTGGATTCGAGTCAGACTTGAGTCACGAATTTGATGACTTGAGACTCGACTTTGACTCGAAGACCAATGACTCTGACTTGAACTTGAGCCTCGGACAGACTTGAGACCCAAAGTGGAAGAGATGTGGAGAGGCGTCTGACTGCAGACGGGAGTCTATACAGTCGGTTACTTTTCATGTGAATGGATTCAATTTGATATACAGCAACATTGTCACATGTCTGTTACTGTGTTTATGTTTGGCTTATTTTATTTCAGAAGACAAGAGAAGCGTCAGAAATCAAGTTCGCCTTCATAAGCTAGAAACAACTGAAGCATCAATAGCATTGCTCAGTGCTTAAATTCTTAATAGGTGAAGTTACCTTTTTCTTCATGGTACCAAAACAAAAGAAACTGAGCTCTCTCTATTTGACCAATTTTAACAGCTTCTACAGGTAGAACAAGCACAGCATTCACCAAAAGCCTAATTTGTTATTCTCCAGCTTAGCATAGCTTGGAATTTGGCATTTCACCTTAAATGCTGTGATTAGGCTATATTACAGTTGCCATCATTTTTGGTATTCAGTGTTGAAATGGCCTCAAATTAGCTAAAGAATGTGTGACTTGTTTAGGATTCAAGGATTAGGACTTGGGACTTTACTTAAGACTTGCCTGTATTGACTTGGGACTTGACTTGCAACTTACTGAGTTGTTCCCACCTCTGCCTTCTTCCTTGCTAAAAAAAAAGAGAATCCAAAGGAAACTTGAAATTCTTCATGGGCTGCAAAGAAGACATATGGATGAAGGAGGTTCTAGTCTGCCCGTTCTTAATGACCACTTAATTAAGTATGCTTTTGGGGGTTTGATTTCTGTGAGTCTGGTGGACAGGGGTTAGTATGGGGCTACACAACCCCGTATGTGGCAGGGTGTGATGCGATGTGTGTTGTGACACACTCCTCCTGTAACCATCATTAAACATTTCTGTGACTTGTATCACAGCAGCCTGTCTATCAGGTTTGGACCAGACAGGATAGCCTTTGTTGCTCTCGCACACTGATGAGACTAGGGTCCTTAACACCCTGTTGTCAGTTCGTAGTTTGTTCCTCCTCAGACCACTGCTGTTAGATGCAGCAGGAACAAGGAACATACATACATACATCATCTAAACCGCTTATCCTTCTGGGTCGCGGTGGGGTGCTGGAGCCTATCCCAGCTGTCATTGGGCGGAAGGCAGGATACACCCTGGACAGGTCGCCAGTCCATCACAGGGCAAACAGACAGACATACACAGTCACACACTCACTCACACCTAGGGGCAATATAGCGTGTCCAATCAGCCTGACTGCATGTCTTTGGACTGTGGGAGGAAACCCACGCAGACACGGGGAGAACATGCAAACTCCACACAGAAAGGACTCTGGTCGCCCGGCCGGGAATCGAACCCAGGCCATTCTTACTGTGAGGCGACAGCGCTACCCACTGCGCCACCGTGCCGCCGAACAAGGAACAATTACTTTGAATATGTTTGCAAACTACAAAAATTAAGGATCCGTTTCAGTCCAAGTTACATTTTGTAAAGGCAGTATTAGGAGAATGGAATTTGGTTTTGAACATTTACCCACATAATGTAAAAATATATACTATCTTTAAAAGAAATGCCATCAATGCTTGTTTACTAACTATTTTCAAAATAGGCAGTGTATTCAGTATTCAGTATTCAGTCATCACTACTTTTCAGAATATTCTGCCCAACCCTGTGTATTTTTGCCTTGCAAAAGTATTCAACCCCTTTAAAAGTCAATTGGATTTGTCTGGACTACAAACTACACTTATACAGTTTGTTCCAGACAATATTTTTGTATTGATTAGTCAGCCCTTTCAGACTAGTACTTGGTAGAACCACTTGTTGCTGCAAAAACAGCTTTAAGTCTGGACTTTGACTTGGACATTGGCAGAACATTCATCTTTTTGTTGGTCAACCACTCCTGTGTTGCTTTGGCTCTGTGCTTGGGATCACTGTCCTGCTGAAAGGTGTAGATTCTCCCAAGCTTTAGATTTTTTAACAGACTGAAGCAGGTTGTCTTGCAGTATTTCCCTGTATTTCCCATATTTTAGCTAGGTCCCTCTGATTGCTCTCTGGCAAACTCCAATTAATTTTTGTCACAGAATATTTTCTTACATAAAATCTCTTTAAATGTAAATATAGCACAGCAGGAAATATCAAAGTGTCCTTTGTAATCCAGACAATTTAGATGACTTTAAGTATATATATATATATATATATATATAATATATATATATATATATATATATATAAAACAGCTGCTGTATAAAGCTGATATTAATCATTATACAGCATTGATATTTCTTGTACATAAAAGGCCCACTCCCAACAATGTATATCATGGTAAAAAAAAAATCATGTCTTTTGGAATGAAGTCCTTCGTGCTCATCTCAAGCATGAAGTTCAACCATCAGTTAAGCCATAAATTAGCTAAAATCAATATTTAAACTAATTTGGAATATTCAACAACAGGATGTATCAGAGGAGTCAGAGAACTCAAAAGAGAAAAGAGGTCTGTGTGTGTGTGTTTGTGTGTGTGTGTGTGTGTGTGTGAGAGAGAGAGAGAGAGAGAGAGAGAGAGAGAGAGAGAAAACTAACAGGTCATCATCACTTGCTCTGCCTCTCTGTTCTAATGTCACTGTACAATATAAAAGCCACAGAAATCTACATCTCTACTCTGAGTTTGTGAACTCCTCTTCCTTAACTGACCAAGGATTCCAGGAAAACTGATTAATATTGGATACACACAAAACTACTGACAGCACATCAACAGGGTATTTTTTTACACTTAGCTCTTGCAAGGCTACATGTAGCTCTCGAATGTCTGTTCTTTTGAGTAGGTTAGTTTCTAGCTGATTAAGATTTCAGTCAATATAGTGTTTGTCTGATTACAGGAAAAGAGAAGAACAATGGTGGACACTAATGGCAGCGCTGTGAATATATTTATTTATCAGAATTTTGTCATATTGGAACTGGATGGGGGAATTATAACAAAGCTGATGGTAGTAATACTGATCACTCTGTTATCTGTATATGTAAACTGTGTCATGCTCTATGCTCTTAAAACTAAGCGTGTTTTTAAGGAATCTCCACGCTACATTCTCTTTGCCCACATGCTTTTCAATGACTCAGTTCAGCTCATTCTGACCACTCTGGTGTATGCCCTGGCCGTGGCTTTCCTCAAGCTGGCTAAAGCTGTCTGTTCACTCCTCATTTTTCTCTCTACTGCAACATTTCGAAATGCACCTTTTAACCTGGCTGTGATGTCACTGGAGCGTTATGTGGCCATACGCTTTCCACTAAGACATGCTGAAATAGCCACCCAGAAAAGGACTTACATTGCTATTGGCTTTGTTTGGTTATTTGGCTCTGCAAATATTTTGATTGACATCATGTTTGCAGCAGTGGTGGATCCTAACTTCTTCTACATGCAGATGTATTGCTCTCGTGATCAGATCTTCATAAAACCATGGCAACTCGATGTATTCAATGGATGCAATGTGTTTCTCTTTGTATCAGTGACACTGACCATTGTCTTCACCTACATCAGCATTATGATCACAGCTAGGTCCATGTCCTCCAATAAAGACTCTGCTAAGAAAGCCCACAGGACTGTACTGCTGCACCTCATTCAGCTGGGCCTGTGTCTCAGCTCTTTTGTATATGGCTCTATAGAGAGAGCACTGTATTTGATGATGGGTGGTACTGTTCTTTATACACACCTACGATATCTGTGCTTTGTCATCATCGTGATACTGTCCCGCTGCTTGAGCCCTCTCATCTATGGGCTTAGAGATGATGCTGTAAGACCTTTATTCAAATATTATTTCTGCTTCGGCTCTACCAAAACAGCATGCTAGAGGGAAAACTTGTAACGGCCACTTTGTCCTTTTCCTTTTTCCTTTTAAGCAGTTATTTTAAGTAATAACAACTTTTAACTTTCTACACTTGCACACTTTTGACTATAATTTTGTCCTCATATTGATCCACTATGTAACAACATTTGTTCATGTTTTCTACCACTGCTTAAGAATTTACACACTTCATATTGGAACTGGACTTCAGTTTAGGCATTTTGTTTCTGTGAATGTATGATGTTTTGCACACCCTTGGATTACATGTTATTCCATGATCCTGGGAACATTTTCTGATGTAGTGATCGTTACAGCTTGATAAATATGAAAATTATATTTCCAGAAAATTAGACAGCTTTGTAGAGAATCCCCAGAAGTGCAGGGATTCACACTTATGGTCTTATCTTTCTGGTTAAACTACTTTAAACAAAACCACAACCATTAAATGGGGTAAAATGTGAAACTAGCCTTCATAATTAAAGCATGCAGATATAAAGTTATACTTTGCAAAAATGTGGACATTAAATGAGCTATCAAAAATGAAACCATGGTTTTTATATGGTGCTAAAGATTGATTTTCATTGAGATTTTTGTTATATTAATTTGTTATATTTTATGTTATATTTTATTTATATTAATCTTGTTTCATGCAAATGTAAATGCAACACAAGACAACCAAAATGAGTTTTGTGAGGTTGTGGCTTATTTGAACTAATCCATTAAAACAACACTAGAGTGATACTTAGAGATCAAAAGTGTACAAGCTCTCTGTGCCCAATTCAACCATGTTATTGTAGTCATCTCTTGATGGTGTGTTGTCACATAATAATGACCATAGAAAGCTGTTCCTATTCAGAATTAGATGCATCTGTTTAAATTCTAAACTGATAACCTAGTAGGCAAACAGCAATGACGAATAAAACCTGCTGCCCAAGTCAGTTGTACCGACTGCTTCTTTATGACACATTTTTAGATACTGTCTCAAAATTCAGTAAAAAGGAAATATATAGTGTTTTTGTATTGACCATTAATAAGCTATCGTGCTAGGTGTCTGTTGATGAATAAAAGGTACTGTCCTACAATGTGCCATGTCAGAGTAGTAGTTTTCAGGCTGTAGCTCACTCACACTGCACAGAAAAGCTCTCTCATCAGTTGTCTGTGAAATGATAAACATTACATTAAGAACATCAGTGTGTCTTTACTTTTCAGGTGAGTAAGCTAAGCAAACACAGAAATAAGAAAAAATGATATTTCCTAAGATACACAGTACAAGAATTGTAATGCACCAACTGTTCAAACATCTGTTCTTTAATTTTCCATCTTGAAAAATCAACAATGAGCAACACATTGAATACAACATGATGCAGTCACCCTTAAATTCAACAAACAAGCAAGGCATTAGAGAAGATGGGGAAACAATTCTGAAAGGGAAGGGAAAAAAAAACAAAAAAACAATAAATAAAATACCTGGTGGTTTCAGAAATCTCAGTTCATGGGTAGCATCAGATCTATTTGTCCTGCTAAAATAGTTATGATGATCATAAGGACACTAACAATCATACCTAAATTCATACAAAAAACGGATTAATAAAGAATGAAGTGCTATGAAGAGCTTGCAGTGGAGACACTGGCATGTTTATGGTAGTATAGCAATCCCCAGTAAGGAGTGAGACAGATGAAGAGAATGGTTTCCATGAGTCTTACTGCACCTAGCTGCTGTATGACGCTAGCAGAGGCTGTACATTGTCTACAGCACAAACAGACAGGAAGAGACAAAGGAGTCCATGTTAGCACAATAAAACAATTCCCTGACTTTGTAAAAATGCAGTTATCTTGGCATCACAAACCGCACTTACCAGGGGAAGCCTTCCTTAAATTCAGTGAACTTATGTCGGACCATGAAGGTGGCTAAAGCATCAGCTACCTGAAACGAAGGAGACAGCTAGTGAGAGCTGCTATAGTGGTGTTATGAGGAGTACAAATAATAACTTAGCAACACAGACGTGCAGGAAGGTAAAGTAACACTTATTTGAGCACTCTAATGCAACAACATGGCAATCACAATAATATAGGCATACTTTTTCAGGTGCATCCTCATGAACAGCATGGCCACACTGTGGGAGAACCTGCATCTGGAACTTTCCTGAAGAAAACACCACCAGAGGTAAGAGGCACATTTGGCCAGGTTAGTATAAAATATGAATTCAATATTGCAGTATGCCTAAAGTGGTAATTCTATCTTAATGGCTTACCCTGCATCTGTCCTATAGTAAGGTCTTTATCCAGTCTATCAATACCTGTGGGAAACACACACATACACATATGATAAGAGGCCTTCTTCATTTCACTGCTACAGAACCCTTAAGGTAAGCTAAGTGGGCCTCTGTCTGCTTACCAGCCAGCAGGAGCAACTTTGGCACAGGGCAGCTGAGGAAGAGAGAGGACAGGCCTCTGAACCAGCCCTCCCAGTACTTCTCTGTCTTAGACAGCTCAATGCGCCAAGTGTACAGACTCTCTTTCTTTACCTGTGGACGAAATTCCCAATTCATTCACACACAACCGCACACAAACACACTTCAGCTTTACAAATACAATTACATGTAAGCACCAAACAAATATACACTAAACCACCAATATGTTTGTAAAGTCAAGAATTGCTCCCATGTTCAGTGTCCTCACTAACAGAAAACATAGTAGGTGTTCACTGTCATTATTTAAAAGTAAAAGATTACGTCCAAGTTGCAAGGATTCTCAACTGCTGCTTTAAAACATTGGTTAGGGACTCCTGATCAATGAAAGGGCAACCCTGTTCCTGAAAAAAAGCTACTCAAAGACAGGGTAGGGGTCATGTATCCCTCCTAAAGTTCACAGACTACATAGTGACCACGTAGTAACTAACTGTACTGACAGTATAAAAAGTTCTTAGAATACGTTGTAGTTTCTACCTCTTGATCATCTTCCTTTTTTCTTTTGTGGTTGGATTCGCCTCCTTCCTCATCTTCCTCCTCTTCCTCAATGATCCCTTCACTAATGCTCTTAGAAATGCCAGGACTATTCAGTGGCTCCTCACATCTAAGAATGAAAATTAATTTTACATAGCATGTACTACAATATTAAAAGGGCTCAAACAGAAAAGAACTTTTGTCCAAATTCTGATTTAGATAAGGAGAACTTACTTTTTCACTTGTCCAGTCATAGACACACGCGCAGACTCAATATTCCTGATCTGCCCACTTTTCACACTGACATAAAAACACAGGACAATTAGTGGGAAACCTAAATCATGTGTTTGCAAGACTTACTTGGCTGCCATAAAATTACCCCTAAAACATAATATAACACATAAGCTTGGTGTAAGGGTAATGTGTTAGAATAGAGTTATACTCATTCCTAATCAACCAGGCATAAACTTAAAATAGGTTTCAACTGCAAATATGTGCTGATTGCATAGTCCATATTAATATTGCCATGTACCTCCATTCAATGGCATTCTCCACCGATTTGAAGGTTTTTGGTCGACTCCTCAAAAAGTTCTGCATACTGTTCAAGGCATCCATTGCTGTACCTAAACATTATTTAAAACAGATATTCTCTATCAGGAACACACTTACTATGCTCACAACAAACATGACACAGCTAATAAGATTGCACTTTACTGTATCTACAGGGTTAACAAAATAATAGAAACACCTGGTGACACACAGACATATCAGCAAAGAGAAGCTGGGCTGCTAAGAAGATGGAAAAGAAATCATGTTTTGAACATTACGTAATGGGAAACTGGGCCTGTTCTTCCAGAAAAACAAACCCACCATTTTGGATTTTTAATTTTGGACTTCATCTTGCTTGCCACTAAAGCTGTGGGGGGAAAAAAAGCTGTGCCATTGTGCCTTGTATGCAATTGATGGTTTTTAATGCCTTTTGGATACAAAGCCACACTGAACACCTTTGAGTTTGAGAGTTTGGGACAGAAATTTACAATCCAAGACAGGAAACAGTGCCCGAGGTTTGGCCAAAATGTCTATACACTTCATCTGGCCACTCAATGAAAGTGACAATGCATTCACTCTGAACTGAGAAGGCTTGTAGCAGTTTGGTGTCGTAGCCCCAGCCAACTAATTTTCTTTCTTAAATTTGAAGTTTCCATTATTTTGTCTATTTCGGTCACTTTAAACCTTGGACTTTCATGTATGCACCTAATTGTTTTATGTTTACTCTCATTAAGCAATACATTTTTCTAAAAAACAAGAATTTGATGCAGCAGGCATCCTACCTTCCACCACATCAATCACACAAAGCCCAAGCAATGATGGAACATGATTGGCTGCAGCAGTGTGAACTGCTATTGCTCCACCCATGCTGTGTCCAATCATCAGGATTGGGGGTGGGTTTTCACCATAGAGCGCTTCCACAACTTTCCCAACATCCCTGTATGATAATACAGTTGAAACATCAGATTTCAAGAACACAGGTTTTTAAGATACTCTTTGAGAGACAGTCTAGCAACTTACTTGGCCATAGTCTCAGCAGATAGATCTTCTGAGTTTTTCACTTTTGTGTCTCCTAGATATTGTCAGACAGAAGCAGCGCGCATTGAGGAAAAATCATTGACAATTATGGGCAAACATATATCTTGACATAATTCATAGATGGTATATACATAGGCAACTGCCTCTTTATGAGGAAATGGCTTAATGGTCACTCACCATGTGCCCTGAGGTCTATAGCTACAACCCTGCAGTTAATCCTGCTACATATCACTCCCTGAAAAAAAAAAAAATAAATAAATAAAAAAAAAGAATGAAGGTTAAGATGAGGTTTGACCTTTTGGAGTGCTCAGTTAGAATACTGAACACTAATCACACATCAACTACAGTGCATGCATACAATGTTCATATGAAACAGTAATGACACTAACAGTGAACACGGCCCAGGAGAGGGCAGAGTGGCCTCCTCCGTGAAGCAGAAGCAGCACAGGGCCGTGAGATCCGCTGCTGTAGATTCTG